TGAATTTATCCACGAAAGAGATTGTCATTGTTTCGATCGCGGGATCGAGACGTCGACGAAATGATCGACGCCGAGAGTTTTCTTTCCTACGTCCGCGTCGTTCCTTCCGGGATCCAAGCGACAAGAAATCGAGTCTTCGGTGTCGGAGTTTGGATTTCAGCGACGAGAATTTAGAGGAGTGAAACGGTACGGTGGTCTCGCGTTACTTCCGCGTTGGAACGTCTCGCGATCGCGATCGGATTTGCCAGAGCGGTGGTTGGTCAAGCGAGACAGAGTGCCGAGGACCGAACATCCGTCGAGGAGACCCTACAAGGCCATTAGTCGATTCTCGTTAAGCCGGTAGTCCGAGGTATCCAGTAAATCTGCCGTGGAAAGCGAGCCGTCGCTACCATTACGCTTTCTGGCCTTGCCACGTTCGATTCCACGAGCACGCTTAAACCTCGACTCGAACTTCATCCAACTTGGAACCGGTTTACTCTCTAGATTAGCGTCTCGGCGCATTAGTTGGCGCGATTTTCGATCGACGGACGAACGCCTTTGGACGTACGGTAGGTCGGACGCGTTTGTACAAAAAAAAATAGGAAAAACGATTCTGACTAAATTATCGAGTAATTTACAAGCTCTCTGCATAGCCTGTAATTGTTTGAACGAACGGGAAAGTTCGTCCTGAACGGCCGTATACTCGAATCAGTGTGCGTCATCGGGTCGTATATTCGCCGGGCGTTAACGTCTGGACTAATGGGGATACGCGAAGGTTTCAGTCGCGAGACCGAGGAGAAAGCGTTTGGAAATTTTATCGAAACGGCGCGACGCGGGACAGACTCGTTTGGCAAAAAGTCAAGTCGTCACGGTTTTGTGGCGCGGCTTTTCGCGGGAGGGAAACGCGCGCGAGTCATTCGCTCGAAACGACCGTTTTGTTTCTGAAACATAATCCGCGTCGGGCAATAGCCCGGAGGAAACAATTGCCCGATACATCGACGGACTCGTTTCAAGCGAATAAATTCGAGTCTGCCGAGTGTAAACACGCGAAGAGAGAGGGGAGGATTTATCGCGTTATTTGGATCTTTTCGGGGTAGCTGGCGTCGAAAATGTCTGCGGGATGTCTTAAAAATAATACCAAGTTTGACAGAGTGGTATCGTGTACTCGAATCGATAAAACACGAGAACGTTGGAATAACTCGGGGATTGAAAAATTAATGGCGACACGGTTTACGTAGCCAAGAGAGTTGGCGAGGATTTGTTAACGGTTTCGGCGATTCGGTTGCGAGAAGGCGAGTAAGGTACCGTAAATTACAGCAAGATCGGTAACCTCGTTGACGCTGGTAAGAGAAACGTTTTGAATCGCGCGGGGACGGGGACAGGTGCGAGAGTTACGAGAAAATCTCATTACACGACACTTTGATATATTTAGTTCTAGGTTATCGACCCTAAACTAGATTCCAAGTTTACGCGAGTATGCTCGAACCGTTCTTCGTACGGGTGACGATGTTCACTTTTAAATTTACAATTGGTTGGTTATACCATCTGTCATTTATCGTTTGGCGCGTATTAGTTGACGCTGTTAAAAGTTTGTTAACCCATGATGCAATTTCGTCCGGAGGTTGCTCCAAGTCTCCCGGAATACGTAATCGTACGTAAACGAACGCGAGAAAACTGGAATCGACGCGTGCGTATGTTTTTACAGCGTTATTCGACGGTGTTTCCCGGCTGGCGTTGCACCTTGATTATGCACCTACTTAATTCTCGAGTTTCCAGTCGTTCTCGCATTTAAATTACCGCCGATAGTAAACCACCATTCGGTTTCACTAACCATATTTAAATCGAAACGATCTCGCGATTATCCAACGGAAACAAGATCCTTTTCGATAAGTTGTGTAAAGTATGATAGCGAAGTTGGACGGCGTTGCGAAGCGGATACAGAGAATTAAGCAACGTTTGTTTTTCCTTCTTTCTTTTCTTGAAGAAAACAAAAAAAAGTATCGATACACCGTAATTCTTATCGATAAATATTTCCTATCTCGCTACTTGGCAATACTATCGATAGAAGTCGAAAAGACAATGCTCAAAAGAATCGTTGCTATCGTCGACGACAAAGGACCAACACCGGATTACCAATTTGTGTTCGACGCTCTCTGCTGATAGCGAAAAAGCTTTCGATAGAACCGTGACATATTGGACTGCTCGACAAAGCGCAACAGTCCCTGCCAGCCACGCTGATCGAATCCTACACAGGAAACGGATATTTCTACGGTGAAAATTAAAAACACTACCTTTGATCTCCGCTTTATTTAAATCAGAGTTACGTACTATCTGTATAGTCGATATTTCTGTCCACCGAAACCCTCGAATATTTACGTTTGCGAACGAAAACACAACCAGCGAAGAGTTCTGATCATTGTATCGCAATCGACGCCTGGACAACAAACTCGCTTGGAAACAGCGATAGATTTATTTTACAGCTAGTTACAGACCCCTTAAAAGTTGGTGTGCGATTTTGTATCGTCGAGTTAGAGTAGTCGGAACGAAAAGCGTGTTGGCGGCCCATTTGCACCATTTACACTTGGCGATTGTCGCGATCTTCCGAGTTCTTCTGGTCGATCGATCGGGCAGGATTACCTGGCCAACGGCACGGTTACAGGCACGATCGCACGAAGATCGTGCCACTACATCGGTAGAAAAAGCGATATCGGGCCATCTATAGGACGAGACGAAGTCGCTCAAACGATCCTCCCGCGGATTTCACCCTCCCAGGACGCGATTCTTTCTGCTCGAAACGAATAGTTACACCTTTATCGACTCCCGCGAGACCATCCTTCCACTCGTGCATAGAACGATGCGAATATAATGTCACGAGTAAATTGAAACGAGACTTTCTCTTAAACTTTGCTCAGGACACGGGACTAAAACGCGGTTACCTAAACTCGCTCGATCCGCGAGGACCCGATCGTCTTGCTCGAGGATTTTTTCTACGCGCGTAAGCCGATCGAATCGCCTTCTATTCCAACCGTATAGCAACGTTAACTAATAACGCGTTGAGTTTCGTAATTGAAAACCTCTCGTTTCGCGTGTCTCGTTTCCATGCAGCCGCGCCGCGTCGTACTAAATTTCATAACGACTATTATTAAACTAGAAAATACTCCAACTATTATGGGTCCGTAACAAGAGTCAATATCATCGATAATGGCCAACTACCGTTAAGAGAAATTTTATTTATTCACGATATTACAGGATTATACATATGTATACCAGGATAAATCGTGGATAAGGGGAACGTGGACAGTGTCGGTCAGACGTAGTTTAAGGCTGCCCGGGACGTCTGACCCAGTACGGTAGTGGATCGTTCCTCTACTGATTTTTCTTTCGCCGAGGAACGTGACACGTTTATACTAATAATTTAATCACGAAAAATAATTAAAACTCGTTGGTTGGTTTTCGAGAAAGAAATTTCCAAAAATAGATGAGAATAGTTGGGGGTGATTGTGAGAGAAATTGGGAGCAAAGAGGTGAAAAGGAGATAGTTGCGAACCCGTGTGAATGAAACTTTAAAGAACGGTGGCAAGCGGTGCTTTCGCAAAACGCGAAAACGCAACTTCCCTGCGTTTCTAGAGTTTCTATCCTTTCTCGGTGGTCGCGCAAACGCGAAACAACGTTCTTCTTTTCGTCCGATGTTTCTCTCTTGCGAGTAGGTATCGCACGCTCGTGGAGAAAATGATTTTGCGCCTGACATCGCTATTACGGTAACGGTACGAGAGATTAGTCACGACGAGCACGTCCCGCGAATCGTTTCGCGGCTGCCACGACCCAAGATTTATTATTTGCTAATTTTTAGCCATTCTCTGGCTAAAGTTGTTGTCGGAGATTGCTCGTTGCCTGGATGATACTCGGTGGTTCCCGTTTACGAAAGCTCTTCGATTCGAGACGCGTCCAATCCCCTCTCGACCGATCGAATTTTTCAAGCCGATTTCTCACGATTAGGCAAATGCCGTTTGATGCTTTCGCGTCCAAAGTAAACTTTTAGATATTTGTTTGCAAAGTCCCTGGACGATCGGATAGTACTATATATGTTGGTTGCAATCTCTAACAGAACACGTTAACCAGATCGAGGGTAACATATTTTCGAAAAATGTTCTTCTTCCGGTATCCTTAATTTTGCCAACAGGAAATAACGAAACGTTGCTTTCGACGAAAAGAACATTGACTTTGCGGTTAAAGCTGCGTTGTTCTACCTTTTGCACGGATATACGTATACTCGTTCGAGCGATCTAGACGTTTCCTCGGTCAGCTTATTCCCGCCACAGCAAAACGCAAACTTTTTCCAAATTGTGAAACCGCGTTCGACCCCCATGTCCGACAGCGGGTCTTCGAACCGATACTTACGACACTGTGCAACATGATCTTGGAGAACCGCACGCGAGCGGTTCGTTTCGTTTCGTTTCTTTTCTTTCTATCTTTACCTTTATACCGTTGCGACGTAATATGCTCGGGCGTAACCTCGCATAAACGCGTACACCGAGAAAAGCAGTACGAGCAAGTCCGGGGAAAGACGATCGTAGCTTTCTTAAAAGGCCTTTTATTATAGTTTTCCACGCTCTTGGTCTTTCTCGACAAAGGAAAACTTTACATCGCGTTCAACCTTGAACTTTTTCGGTCTCGAAATAGTTTTGTCCACATAATCCAAGACACGTTGAAAACGTAGGTTGCCCGATTATGCGGCTCGTTCGATTTCTTTATTACGAGCATCAATATTTTAATGTAAAGTCTTTTTGTTTCGGATTCGTTATTTAGCTAGAAAAGATGTTGCGTTCAACGAACAACGATTAAATAGCATTTTTTCGACTATAAATCTCGAGAGATTTGCAAAATTGACGCGTCGCTTTCACGCGGCGTCGCGTCTCGCCGACAGTTTATGGAATTTCGAAATCGAAGATCGCGCGATTCGCGCAGGCATCGGTCCCCGAAGAGACTGCATTTTTAATCGAAACGTTACGTTTCTGTTTCAGGATACATAAACTGCAATGCCAGCACGCTACAGTCGCTCGCGCAGTTACACGGTGAGTAAAAACTGCTGATCGATTCTTTCGTCCTTTCGTTGGTTCGTTTCTCGAATCCGGCGAGTCGAGTCGCGTTCGCTGACGGAAGATCCTGTTCCCTCGGGTCGAGAGGAGACCAACGGGCCACGGCACGGCGCGGCACGGCACGGCACGGTCAATTAAAATTTATAGTTGCGCAATGCCTCCTTGTATACCTTTCTGACGGCAGTCGGGGAAACACGACACTCCTCCTTCTCCTCCGCAATGTTCGCTTCCTCTTTCTACATCGTAATCGCTGGAAAAGGACTAGCCGCAAGCCTGTACTTTGCTCGGTAGCCCATTAGAACCGGCCGCGCAATCTTATCTTCGATTTCTTTCTCCTTTTCCTCGCATTTTCCCCCTTTCGTGCAACAGCCCTTCTCGCAACTCTGCGAAATTCTCTGCTCGAACTACTCCTGCCAAACGTACGCCGACAGAGAAACGTTACAAGAAAAACAGCTACAAAGGACATTCGATGTCGAGGAAAATGAGAGAAAATTCGAGATCTCGTTTAGCTCGTTTTCTGTTCCGATAATCGACGTTCAAACTGCGCGTTGGTTTTTCGAAAGCGTACGACGAGAAAATACAAATTCGTGATAGGAATTCAAACGGCTAGATCTTGCAAAAGGAACCTGCTCGTCGATTACTCTTGTTCGCGGAGAGCATTCGCCGTGAATTTTGTACCGGTAGCCAGGGTTGGTGGCTCGTCGGAGATCGAGCGCAGTCTGAAATTACACGAGCATGCCATAGGAATCGCACGCGTGACAGATATGCACGGAGTCCTCCGTTGATGAGGGACGATTGTCTATGCGGAATCTCGACAGCGTGAAACGCAACCGTGTAAATACGAACCGTTTCGTAACGCGGATCTTTGCGTCGCGTCGCGTATCGATAATTCCGCGGCCAATTTCCATCTCGGTCAAACGCCAAACAAGAAATCCAACCGGAGAAATTTACATTTGCTCGTAAAAATATTTTTCTCCGATGCTGGGACGTTTCTCTTAAAACTAAAAATCGGAGGAAACGCGAAAATCCGAGGATTCGGTTTTGGCGAAAGTTCCAGGCAAAGGGTAATTTCATGCAAACCATCGGGCCGAATATGTGTTTAAAGCCTGCCGTAATTCTCTAGTTGGCCAATCGCTCGGGCAGACTTGCAACCGAAGAAGAGCTGGTTTGCGAAATACGTAAACGAGCCCTGTCTCGACTGGAATGTTACGCGTTCGTCCGAGCAATCGGTGCGAACAAGCTAGCGTGTGCCCGCTAACGATACAACGGACCCTCTGACCTTTCCACACACGTCATTCTGTAAATTGTATTCTGCCACCGTTGCAGTCGCTCCTGTCCCGGAGTTCTCCGCTCCTCGAATGTTCGTTTCAACGGTATTTCAACTTGGGAAAACGGACGACTTATTGTTATTACCGTTATTACGCGAACAAACCAAAAGACAGGCCCGTTAATAGGAAAGAAAAATAGAAAGAACGCGAGGGACTCTGTCTCTCCTCTCAACACCGATACCACCAAAGGGTCTCTTTGCGACTTTTATCCTTTAAAGGTACTCTTAACAATATGTAAAATAAACATTACGAAAGAACGTAAGCCATTTGTCTCGGTAACGTTACAAATACCGTTTCGAGGGAATTTAGCGTTCAGGCTAGGCGTTTAGACGTTGGTGACGTCGAGTGACGCAGCATTATATTCTATGTAAACGATGTAAAACAATTGCGCATCGCACATTGCCGCGCGAACCAGTAAATCACCTGGTTTCGCATCGTTTATACAAAATGCTGTGACGCGCTATGTTATTCTCGACTATTTGCATTTTGATGCGCGCCTAACCTCAGAGTTTTAAATGCTCTTACTTTAAGGATAGCTAGTTTCGTACAGCTGGATGAAATTACTTTCGATCACTCGTCAGAATGAAAGAATGACCGTAGAGATAAACGATGGTTCGCGATACATCGAACGACCGGTGAAATTAATCCGGATTACCGCGTCCCGTTGAATACACAGACACGTGTCGCGTGTTTCGTATTCTCGTGGCTCGACCCTTTTTCGTCACGGAGAAAACCAATAGGTATGCATAGAGCGGTGGTTGGGAGGTCAAGGCGGACGCGTTGCATATTCAGCGGATGCAGATTCCGCGCGGACCGCAGCTACCGAAACAATAAGTATGTACATTAATTAGCTGCCGGAGGACAGAGGGTCTCGCCTTACAACACCCGAATACCCTTCACGGTTTCAACTTTCCTGCGCGTAACTTGCTACGGATACTCCATAAATTCGACCGATCTTCGTTATTCAGACGACGGTGACCGCTTCGATTTTAAATATGCAGCCTCCAAAACGAACTTATCTTCGTCTCGTGTCGTTGCTCGCCGCGATCAATCGTGCATTTACAATTTTATTAACGGGACGCCTATTTTGCGTCACCGTAATTGTTGTTTGTAAAAAGATTTTCATCGTTAACCCGTCAATCCCATTGGCTAAACTTCCTGGAATGGCAAAACAAGATCAAGGAGCAATTTTAGCAAACTTCGACTCCCCTTCTGCTGTTATTCGCTACTTTCCTTGCTTGCATAATAAGACGGAATAAATAACCGAGCTATTGCCTGCCGAGTCTAGCGTACCAAGTAGAAAACTTCATTTCACGTTCCCTATTTGTACGCGTTCTCCGTACGCCGTGATCCGACAAATTTATCGCGACGTTGCGTAGAAATACATATTTTCTCGAATATCCCGCAAAAAATTTTCATACGAGTCTCGCGTGGACCAGAAAGGGAAGTAATTGTGGTAAATTCGGCTTTAACCAAACACGTTCAGCGCGATGATTAAATATTTTAATCGTCGATGCCCCTCGTCGACTCGACTAGGGATTGACCTGACCGGACGGATGGACGTTGGAGCTTCGAGCGGACGCTGTGAAACGCGCATCAGAGCCAAGGCGCACAGTTTTCCTTGTCCCACATTTCCAGTATCCTTGGCAAAGTTTCGCGCCGTCCATGTCCAGGATAGATATTCCTGCTCGTTAGAACGTGTAAACCCCGTCGAAAGCAATTTGTCGACGCCTTATCTGCGTGGACGTTTACTTTTTCCCGTTCCAATGATATTATATCGATCGTTGTCGCGTTGTTTTTCCACGCCGGAGATTCGAGTTCCGTTCGGTGGAAAAGACAAACGATCGACAACTTTCGACCGTCGCGTCGGATCGACAATAGTTATACAATAGGTTGCTTAAAGGATCTGAACGAACGCGTACGAGAGGATCGGCGAACGACTGGACGGACGTGTTAGAAAGTTTGAATCGGAATAGAACGACGCGGCACGATTAAGGTTCTCCGCCATCGAGTGTAGCTCTATCGAGAAGCGAGTCGAAAGAGATTCGTTGAAAAGTGGACAGGTGACATCCGAGCGAGGCGTTCAATTATCGTCGCGTCTCTGCGTTTCGCAAGATAGTCGCGAGTAACCCGTTCTCCCCAAGGCCGATTCTCCGGGTCAATTAAAATGAACGATTATCGTAGCGGGGCTTATCGGACCGCGGCGTAATTGCCACGGGTCCTATGCGGTTCGCGAGCTACTTCTACCCCGCGAGGGGGGCAACAGGGGGCCTAAAACTGGCATCTGGTATAACGTGACCAGGCGACGCGTGACTGGCCGCTCATGAGAGCACGTGCTCTCTTTCCCAATTGTTCCCGCTGCGCCACGCCACGCCACGCCACGTCGTCGCGAGTTTCTGTGTCTTTCCTTAACCGTAAACTGCCGGTGCCCCCTGCCGCTCCACGGACCTTGATAACGCTTGTGAAACTAGCATTACGAGCAACTGTGCCTCGCCGTGGAAATCCCGCGTAAGAATGGAAACAGGTGTAGCCGCACAATGAATCTTGCGTGCTCGCGCGTCAATCCGTTCGCATTCACCTGGATTTTTGTCGGTCGCTGAGTCACACCCGAGACAAATACAGAACGAGAGCCATTGTCTCGCGCCTTCGTTTGGGAACGAACTTCGAGGAACGGTTTTTCTATGAATTTATAAACCTGATTGCTCCTAGAACGTAGATTCCAATTAGGATAATGGTATGGTCTGGCACAAGCGTGAGTTTCGTTTCTTTGATTAAACGTTTCCACGTTTTATCCTTTGTACAAGTTGTTAAGAATGTACAAAGATGTCAAGTTGTAAAGGGCGCGAATGTGACCGGTTTCGAGCACGAAACGAAGGGGGATTATTGTCGCGAAAAAGGTTTGAAAAATCGTGCGACCCGAGTGAAGTAATCGCGTGTCCCTGGTTGCGTTCTCGCTTGTCTCGTTCCGCTGCTACTCGTATCGCGCGATCTAATGTATCGAAGGATAGTAAGCGAGAAGCAGACTCCGTTCTCGTAATTCGATCGGCTCGAATCGATACCACGGTGTAACGGTATACCCAACCGAGCTGTTTGCACGCTCCTCGCACCAAGCGCGTCATCCACGACGGTCCAACAACAAGAAAAATACACCTCGAAACCTTTGCGTTTTTCAAACTTATCGCGCACCTTCTCTTTCTAAACGAATAAATTCGGAATATAGAATATGCGGAACATAGTCTGAAAAGTAGAATCACTTTTTCGGTTTCGTACGGCTCGAACGTCCCGATCGGATTTTAACCGTATCGCGAAATGCCGGGAGAAGAAGGTGAAACAGAAGGTGAGAAAGAAACAGATGGAGACCGGGGATACCTGTTTTCAAGACCTGCCTTAACGCGTTACGAGACGTGCCTCGTATTAAGAGCACTTTCGCGATCGCGGTCGACTCAAAAACCGAGGAGCGACAATGCCTTCTCCGCTACGAGGCGAACACGCGAAACTTTCGTCGAATCTCTCGCATTCTTGGTAGCTGTGGAAGCTGGTCGCAAGAGAAACCTTGCAACGTTTCGCGAATCAAACAGTTTTCGAATAAATATATCGATCCCGTGTGCTCTTAATGTTGGTATTGCTGTAAATGTCGGCTGTTCTTCT